GGGTATAAATTCATATTTCAATTTGTTGAGTCACTGGGTTTAATTGAAACAAGTCTTGATAAACAGAGTTTTTCTCATATTTCAATTTATAATTTCTGGCTTCAGACAATTTCATCCTACTGTTAGCCTCTGAATGAGGAGCAAAGACAGATTCTTATGGGACAGACTATCCTGAAATTGCATATTTAAACAAAAACAACTTTATCCAGTGCCCACCTTTTCCTCCAATTTATAAAACATCAAAATTTCTAGCTGGCAGTGCCGGTTGTACACAAGCTCATACCACGAGTAAGAGATGCAATTCCTTTTAGAACGTCCATGTAAGCTAGTCCTGAGTTAAGTGCAAATCTTTCTATCCATCAACAAAACACACAACATATTATGATAGAAGCTAAAACCCACCACCTGCTTCGTCTGGTAGAGAGATACATAGGACAATGTAAATGACAAATACAAACCTTGCGGCACTGCCTTTTCTATCAGTCCTTCTCTCTTTCTAGCCCCAGGTTGCCTAACCTTTAGAAGGAAAACACTGAAAAGATTCCCATTTGCTGTCCTCATCCATCAATGCCGCCAGGCCCAGATGCTTCGTGGTGAGGCCGTATGATTTCCTGCAGATCCACCCTTGAATGCTAAATAACTGCTCTGCACACTTCTCTCTCTGCAGAGCTGAGGGAAATGGCAGCCAGAGCAATGAGTGGTTGGCATGGCAACAAGGAAGGGAAAATTTGCAACCTCTTGTATTGTTAGACCTGCTTGTTTATTTGCATTGGGGGGTGGCACGCATGGCTTTAGCTATTTTGCAGAAAAGGCTGTGCAGTATTTCGCCATGTATAAATTGATGGAGTATCATATACAATATGTCCTATCTTAAATAGGATGCTGTCTGCTTCTGTAAATTTTAAATCTAGAAATGGAGTTAAGGGAGAATGGAAGAGTAAGAAACAGCATATTTGAGTTTTCTAAGATAGAAAAGCAAACATACAGAAGCGTAAAGGCATACTCAGATTTCTGCATACAAGATATGTCAGACTTTTCCCTCATCATGTGTTTTCAAGCCTAAATTTATGATTAAGCGGCAATAAACTGTACATGGGTCTGTCCTTTGGCTGATTGGGTTGTGTGGATTTTAAAGTGCTGGGCAAGGCTTTAGACAACACAGCTCTCTTGGTGAACTCTGAAAAGAGTGATAGCAAGTCGCTTGAAGGTCTTTCACAGTTCTCACCTCTTTGACAGGAGTGGACCTGGCTGGTGTACCTGGAAATGCTGGAGAAACCAAGGGATTCTGGGGTATTGACAGGGGTAAATTGAAGAAGTGCCCTGTTATGTTCACAGGGGAAAGATGACACTTTCTTGAATGGAGTTGTCTTGCACCGGGACTAGTGCTTCCGACCAGTATTCCAAACATTGTAACTTAGGGTAGTCAAAATCATCAAAACCTAGTTTTAAACACTTCTATGTTTTCATATTTATAAACATCTCAGAATGGCCTCCTTTCTTTCTCCACTCAAGGCTGAAAAGCAGACATAACGTTGATTCCATATCCTCCTTCAAGGACATCCATGAGTGTTCTGCAATGGAAATGCTCTCTTTGCCTATAACCAATAATTGCTGTGCAGTTCAGAATGTGGCACAGTGGGGAGATGGAAAGAACACCGGATTCAGGTGGTATTCATGTGATCTTGGATGTGTGCCTAAACCTGTAAAGGGAAGGACTCTGAAAGGTCATCTTGTCCCTTACAGTATTTGATCATATTATTCACAATTAGAAAAGAGAATTAGCAGATTCCCTCACTGCTTTCTAATAAAGGACAAACCTTGACACCCATAAAACCACACACACACACACACACACACACAATACTTCATCCTAAAGAGACTTGAAAACTTTGGTAACCAGTACCAGGTTTTTAAAACCAAGTAGATTGGGAACTGTAGAAACAATCTCACACCACCTCTTGGGAAGAAAGAAGAGTTGCTTGGGATTCCTGACCTCCATGCTCACAATTCAGCTTTCACACCTTCTTACTCTGCAGCCTTGGGCAAGTCACTTAGCCATTCTGTGTCTTAGCCTTCCCATTTATAAGTGAAGATATTAGTGGCAGATAACTTCACAGAAATCTCAAAAAAATGAAATGAGAGATGTGATGGTGTTTTTATATACTGAAGAGAACTTTGGAAAGGTAAAATGATATACAAGTTTCTTAGCTGTATTTTTACAAATATTTCTGTAATAGTTCCTTAAGTAACCCTTGAGGAATGGATAGGAATTAGAATATCATTCCTTCTCTGTTGATGAAAAGTGAACAAAAACAAAATAATGATGCTTTTTGAGTAAAGTCAGAAACAGAATTAGTATTTGTTTTGCAGGTCCTTGTTTTCATTATATTCAAAATGATTCTATTAACAGACACAGCAAGGATGGGATTTGATCTAACAGAAAATGGGATACCAAATGAAATGAGAATCAGCTACATTGCCAAGTCATGTGCATAATGATTAAAGAAATCAATGGCTTTCCATGTCCTTAAAATGTCAGTTGAAAGGTTACCTTATTGTTTTCCACTTTCTGAAATGATTTTCTAGTCAAAGTTTTACTAATTTTGCTAATCATCCCTTCTGTCCTTTGACAAGCAATATCTTATCTTGATATTCAGACTAACATGAGTTTGGATCATGCTCCTGGATGGGAAACATAAAGATGAGGCACCTAATTGTTGCTTAGAGTTAGAATTCTGTGGGGACCAAAAGGTATTTCTCTTTGCTTTCTTCAAAAAAAAAAATAAATAAGGCAGGAACAAGAAGAAGGGGTTATTATGAGCCATTTATACTTTATACTTTCAAAACTAATTCTAAAATATTTTAGTTTTACCATAACATGACTTTCGCTAAGTAGCTAGATTATCAATAGTTTCATATTTATTCTTTCATGTTTTTATGGCATGGTTTCTTAAAAGGATATTTTAGTGGCCAAAAAAATCTTAACATGTCAAAAGTATGCTACAGTTGAGGAAAAATAATTCTATCTACCTTTTTATGTAATAGCTTTAAATTTTAAAAGAAACAAAAATCTAGAAGAGTAAGCTGTAAAGAAATGCAATTTTAAATATTAGTGCCTTTTAACATCCCCAGCTTCCCTACCCCCTTAGTCTTAGTGCATCAGATCAAGCATAAGCTGATGATGGGCTGGTGTCCTTAAAAGTTATTATGGCCCATAAATGAAGGGATCATTGGAAAAGGTAGATAGGGGAGAATAAGCTGAGACTCTTGATTGAAGTGAGCACCCCTCCCCCCAGGAAGTAAGGAAGACATGATATGTGCAACACATTCATCATGTGATCCTATTTACACATGTGAATAAAAAACAAAGTACTGTGGAAAAGGTTTATACCTACAAATGGAGAGATGATGACAGAAGAGAAGGAAAGTAGGGGAAACATCTTAGTATCCAACCAATTATGACCTGGATAATACAACATACAGCTGTGACCTGATGTCAGTGAGACATGTGTCATGTCTTGAGAAATACTCTTTATAGGGCAAAAATACCATACATGAATAGATTACCTGTGAATGATACAAGAGCAGGTTGGTTGATATATAGCACCTGGTCCTCTTTAAAATAAATACTCACTAATCACTTAAAATATAATGTGACTTGGGCAATCATTGTGATATAATGGGTAAAGCCGCAGTTTGTGACACTGGCATCCATATAGGCACTGTTTCATGTCTTGGCTACTCTGCTTCTGATCTAGCTCTTGTTAATGGCCTGGGAAAGCATTGGAAGATGGCTCAAGTGTTTGAGTTCCTGCCACTCACATAGGAGACCTAGATGAAGCTCCTGGCTTTGGTCTGGCCCAGGGCAAGCCGTTGTGGCTATCTGGGGAGTGATTCAGTAGATGGAAGATCTCTCTCTCTCTCTCTCTCACCCCCCCTTTAACTCTTTAAAATAAATAAATAAATCTTTTAAAAAACATAATGAAGCTCATATAAGTGGTTTCTACTAAGAATAGTAATTTGTAGCACAAGTGGGTTTAAAAGTACAATAATATGTACTTAAGTAAGTTCTCTTTTGTCATTTGACATAACTTTCATATTTCACCTTTAATATCAATTTTTTGAACAGAGAGTATAGCTGATAAGTGTTGCCAGCTAATTGATGGAGTGTAGAAAATCAATCTTTTTATAAATAAGGGATGACTTTGAAGATATATAGCTTTTCTTACTACCAGTAGTTCACTAGCTATTTTGTGTTTAGGTTACTGTCTGCAATCTACTGAATTCAATAATAAACTGTGAATAAAAGGAAAATCATGGTAAGGGGTATTATAATACAGGCTTGTGTTATATTACTAACATGATATAATGCCTGCCATATGATAATATCAACAATAGTATAAAGGGAATTATTGGTGGAAATCACTTTGAAAAGTCTGTACACATAAATTATATGATGGTCTCTTTCAAGCATCTGTAGATTAATTTTTAAGAAATGCCTGGGAAATTATGAAATGGTTCCTGTTCAGATAATGTGCTTGGTCAATTCCTGTTCTTTTTCTTTTACTTTTTTTTTTTTTTGAAGGCAGGGTAGATATGGATTTTAAATTTCTTTCTGCCCTTAAAAGTAAATGTGCTTCTAATCAATTCAACTGGACTTAGATCCAATGCCATTCAACTGAATCAAAGAGAAACTATTTGTGAAGCTTCCTTTCATCAAGTTAAATGCAGACAGTTTCTCACAAAACATAATACACTGAGGCATTTGTCTATAAAAATTAAAGGAATCAAAATGAAATAGAAAAATGGAATGGAGTTTCGAAATAGGAATATCAGGCTAGTTACCATTTCTCTCCTTTTGGGTGTCAGTTTCTCCTGACGGACTAGAATTCCAGTCCTAGCACTAGCGCAGGGAACAACACCATAAATTAATCCATTTTCAGGCCAAGCTGACTTCAAAGTGCAGAGCAAGCTCTGGTGACAGAAGAGCCCTTAGTTACCTGCTGTTTCCCTGTCAGCCGAGGTCAGCTCTCCATTGATCCCATTCTCTTTGGTATTTGAATAGGCGGCCTGCGACCCATGCTCTCCAAAGGCACCCTCTTCATCCTCCCGGTATGGGAACCCATTGGCGCTTCGGACAAGTCCTTCCCCTGCTCCGCCTTGATCCTTAAGCTCAGGAGGATGTGGGTGTGCAGGCGCCTCTGTAAGTGGAGCTGAGGTCCAGTGAGGTGCTTTAGCTTCATCTTTCCGTTCATCAGCCATTGTTCCAAGCTCTGTAGTTTATCCTGCAATGGGAAGAGGAAAACCAGTAGTTGTCATTTTAGGGCAATCTTCTGACCTAATATTGATAGGACCAAAATAGGGAAAAATTGTAGCAAATCCAGTGGTTTTCTATAGTTAAGTAAATATTTTCAATAATCTGTTAATAACAAGAACTAGCCATTGTTAAACCTTGGTTTCTACACAATTTCTGAAACGTTTGTTCGTTTAATAAGATCACCATTATTCCACATATACCCTCTTATTTTCATTTAGTGTTTGGCATTTTAGGACACATCTGAGTTAATTCACTGAACATGGTCTTGAATGTTGATTTTATAGTGAAGCCAAGCAATCCTTCAGCATAGGGAAGATCTACAATAGGAGAAAACTGGGAAGCGAAAAATTACTCCAAATATTCTCCTAAAAACATGACTTTTCACTGAAATCTAGGAGAGACAACTGTCATGTCCTAGTGCTTTCAGTTTCAGGAATGCTCAAATTAAGCCAGACATTGATGAATGTTTCTGGATACTGTAAATGAAAAGTAATTTTGACTTAAAATTTCTTTTTTTTTTTTTTTGCTTTCAAACTTTTATTTAATGAATATAAATTTCCAAAGTACAGCTTATGGATTACAATGGCTTCCCCCCCATAACGTCCCTCCCACCCGCAACAGACTTTCCTGAACTATACTACAGATTAAGAGGGATTGATATTTTTATTAACATGAATCTTTTAGAAAGAATAAAAATATAATATTAAGCCCATGTTCTACCTTTTGACATCATTTCACAGCTCTTTCAAACCAGGGCTGGAAAATTTAAGTCATTGACATATATTAGGAAATTGAAATTTATAGCAAATGATGAATTAGTCATGGAACAGAGGTTTCAAACATGTTAAGTGAATGGCAGATATTGCACACCCTTCTCTTGTAGGCTGATGTTACTAATTATAGTGATGTAATTGACAAGAGGTGATTCACCACTCTGTTTTGGAAAGCTGTTGATAGCAATGGAGCCACACTGATGGCTTATTGTACCCACAGTAAGGATGACAACATAGGCAATGACTGTCTTTGGTAGAAACTAAGAACACCTTCCTTTTTTCAATAAAGTCAAGCAAAATTTCTTTTTTTTTTTTTTAAGATTTATTTATTTATTGGAAAGGCACAATAACAGAGAGGCAGAGAGAGAGAGAGAGAGAGAGGTCGGTCTTTCATCCTTCCATCCACTGGTTCATGCCCCAGATGACAGCAACGGCCAGAGCTAGGCGGTTCTGAAGCTAGGAGCCAGGAGCTTCCTCCAGGTCTTTCACAAGGGTGCAGGGGCCCAAGGTCTTGGACCATCTTCTGCTGCTTTCCCAGGCCATAAACAAAGAGTTGGATCAGAAGAGGAGCAGCCAGGACATGAGCAGGTGCCCATTCTGGATGCAGACAACACAGGTGGAGGCTTAGCCTACTACGCCAAAGTGCCAGCCACAAATAAATACATTTATTAAAAGATTTAGTTATTTATTTGAAAGGCAGAGTTACAAAGAGGCAGAGGCAGAGAGAGATGGAGTGAGAGAGAGAAATAAAGAGAGAGATCTTTCATCTGCTGGTTTACTCCCCAAATGGCCATAGCAGAGAGCTGGATCTTAAGTGGAGAAGCCGGGACTCCAACCAGTGCCCATATGGGAAGCCGGAACTGCAGGCGGTGGCTTTACCTGCTATGTCACAGCACTGGCCTCTAAAAAAAATTTTTTTAAATAAGCTGTCATTTTAGATTCCCAACAAGCATCTGTCTACTTTTTACTGGATTTTGATGCTATTAGTTACCTCCAATTTTGGTTAATAACAGCAAAATCTAGGTGAGTTAACTTACTTAAACAAACTTGACCATGATACCAATATTCTCCCAAATAGATTCCTCAAAGGATTCTATTTGTTCTCCTGAAGAACATATTTAAACAGGTCATAAGGAGTTTAGCTTTTTTTTTTAAATTACTTATTTATTTGAAAGAGCTATGGGGGAGGGGGAAGAGACAGAGAGAGAGAGAGAGAGAGAGACAGAGACAGAGACAGAGACAGAGAGAGTTTTTCCTTCTGCTGGTTCACTCCCCAAATGGCTGCAACAGCAGGTGCTGGGCCAAGCCAAAGCCAGGAGCCATGAGCCAGGAGCTTCTTCCAGGTCTCCCACATGGTGACAGGGACCCAAGCACTTGGGCTATCCTCTGCTGCTTTCCCAGGTGCATTAGCATGGAGCTGGATCAGAAGTGCAGCAGCCAGGACATGAACAGGTGCCCATATGGGATGCCTGCATCGAAGGTGGAGGATTTACCCTCTACACTACAATGCTGGCCCCAGCAGTTTAGTTTTTAAAATAACAATAGAAGGACTTGCAATTGAACCAGGGGGCATCCCTATATTGCTGACCATGTACAAAGAAATGTACGCACTGGAAGTTTTCTCATTTGTAAAACAAGGGAAACAATGCTCACTTTATTGGATTATTACAAAGCTTAAAGAGAACAAAATAAAATACTCAATAAAGCCCCTCACATGCTCAATAAATAGTAATTATTACATTTGTTATTGTTTTTATAATTATAGTATCAGACATTAAAACCACAAGCCATTACCCATCAAACATTTTAGGCAGTTTTTCTGAAATTATTGGCATAGGAAAAGGAGCTTGATGGGCTGGTGTTGTGGCATAACTGGCTGAGTTGCTTACTGCAATGCAGGCCATAAAGGTGCCAGTTCAAGTCCCAGCTGCTCCATTTCCAATCCAGCTCCCTGCTAATGCACCTAGGAAAAGCAATGGAGGATGGCCCAACTTCTTGTGGTCCTGTACCTATGTGGGAAACTTGGATGAAGCTCCTGGTTCCTTGCTTTGGCCTGGTCCAGCTCAGTCCATTGCATCCATTTAGGGAGTGAAGCAGTGGATGGAAGGTCTCTCTCTCCCTCTCCCTCTTTAAGTCTGTCTTTCAAATAAATAAAATAAATCTTAAAAAAAGAAGGTTGAAAACTTGGTAAGTGCAATAATGAGAGAGTTTCTTGCAAATCTGTCCTCAGATATTGTATATGCCTTTATAAATAGCCCAATATAGGCATGAACAACATCCTAGACATGGGAGCCTGATCAAAGAATGTCCCTAGAATTCATCTGTCTATGTGTATATTTGAAAAATTAGCTCCATCTATTATAAACACACTCCTGAAATGTTTTACACTCCATTCTGCCAAACAGCAAAAGGTTTAATTTGAGACTGTAAACATTACATTTCTCCTGAATTATTCTCACTTCTCCATATGCCTAAGGGGTTGAGGAAATGTCTGGGTGCAGACTGTTACCTTATGGATCACAAGGTTTTATTGAAGACTCTTGCCTCCCTCAGCATTCTAATCTTTACATACCTTGATTTCTTTACTTTCCTTTGTAGGAAGAGCTTAATTAAAGTTTCCAAATTCATTTATGATTCAATTTTTTTCTTTTGGACAGGCAGAGTTAGACAGTGAGAGAGACAGAGAGAAAGGTCTTCTTTTTCCATTGGTTCACCCCCCAAATGGCCGCTACGGCAGGTGCGCTGCAGCCAGTGCGCTGCAGCCGGTGTACTGCGACGATCCAAAGCCAGGAGCCAGGTATTTCCTCCTGGTCTCTCATGCGGGTGCTTTTGTGTGCAAAGTGAAGACTGTAAATAACAAGTTTTACATGAAGCATACAAGCCTGATTAATGCAGCTTTTTTAAATTAATAGACTTTATTTATTTATTTACCTTTGAATTAGAGACCTTTTTTCGTCTTTTTTAATTTAACAGACAGTAAGACAGAGTGATAGGGAGATACAGAGATTCCCCCACCTGCTGATTCACTTTCTAAATGCCCATGATGGCAGGGACTGGTTTGGACTGAAACCAGAGCCAGGAACTCTGTCCATGTCTCCCATGTGGGGCAGTGGGAATCCAATTACTTGAGCCATCAACCTGTAGCCTTCCAGGGTCTGCAATGGGAATAAGCTAGAATCAGGAGCTAGAGCTGAGAGTTAAACTCAGCCACTCTGATATGGGATATGGGCATCTTAACTACTAAGTTACATGCCACCCACAAGGCTTTATATTTTTAAAACAATTTTAATTTACAGAAAAAATTAAACAGATATAACAGAGAGTTCCCATGCACCACATGCTCATTATTTCTCCTGTTTTAAACATCTTGCATTAGTTATTAATATATTTATTATAACTAGTCAACTGTCACTGATACATTATCGTTAATTAATATCCATAGTTTATTTAGATTACCTTCATTTTTATCTAACAGTCTTTTTGTTTGTTTCAAGATCCTATCCTGGTTACTACATTACATTAAGTTTTCATGGCTTCTCATATTCCTCTAAGATCGCAACCTTGACAGTTTACAGGACTAACGGTCAAGTAAATCACAGGATATTCCTCTGCTGGAATTGTTTCATTCTTTTTCGATGCCTTTGGGTTAAGTGTTTTAGGGAGGAAGACTATGGAGGTAAAGTACTCAGATAAGCTTGGGAGATGCTGCGTTAAATGAGTATGTATTCCCCAGAACTTCTGAGAGCTTCTGGCACAACACTGAGTATCATCTCGGGGAGATGGCCGTATGTGCAAGTCATCCCAAACCAGTCGGCCCCAGAATCCTTTTTCTGAAGCCATGTTTATTAACATCTCCAAGAGAATCTGGGAAATATTTAGGTTTGTACTTCAGCCCAGCTTAACTCTGAGGATTCTAGCCATTAAATAAACAAAATAAGTGAAACAATATGAGTACCCACAACTCCCCAAGTGTTTCTGGCACAGATTTCTCAGTGACCAAAAACCCTCATCTTGAATCTAATAAACCAACATCTAAATGGGGAGAGTGTTACTTGGTAACCATCCACTTAAAATATTAAGATAATTTGTTTTCAAGAGCCCAGACATTTAGAAAGTGAATTCCTCATTGTTTAATGTTTTAGAGTTTTGTATTCTTTTTCTGGAAATCAAAACAAACTAATTTTGGAAGAAGAAA